GACATTTCCTTGGGAACCCAAACTGGATTTAAGGGACATTTCCTTGGAACCCAAACTGGATTTAAGGGACATTTCATGTTGTTGGGAGCCCAAAGTTGATTTAAGGGACATTCCATGTCATCTGTAATTCCAAGTGTGTTTCTCCAGCTGGAGACCTTCCTGCCTGCTGGAAAAACCCACCAAAGGTTTAAAAACCGTGGGGATTTCATCCTGTTGGTTTTATTTTGGGTTTCTCTTGCCACAGTCAGCTCATCCCCCATCCCCACCTTCGACCTGCAAGACGGTGGCAGGAAGGTTTGTCCCCGCTGCGACGCCCAGTTCCGGGTCACCGAGGCTCTGAGAGGACACATGTGTGTGAGTGGCCATTCCCAAGGGATTATCTGGGATGTATTCACACCTTAATTAGTTCTGGATGCAGTTCCATGTGAGGGATTTAATTGTTTCTAGATTCAGTTTAATATACGGGGCTTAATTAGCTCTAGATTAAGTTTAAGGGGGATTAGCAGTTCTATACACAGTTTAATATATGGAGCTTAATTAGTTCTAGATTCAGTTTAAGGGGGTATTAGCAGTTCTAAATACAGTTTAATATGTGGGGCTTAATTAGTTCTAGATACAGTTTAATATGTAGGACTTAATTAATTTTAGATTCAGTTTAGGGAGGATTAGCAGTTCTAGATACAGTTTAATGTGTGGGGCTTAAATAATTCTAGATTCAGTTTAATATGTAGGGCTTAATTCTAGATCCAGTTTAATATGTAGGACTTAATTTTAGATTCAGTTTAGGGGGGATTAGCAGTTCTAGATACAGTTTAATATGTGGAGCTTAATTAGTTTTAGATACAGTTTAATATATGAGGCTTAAGTAGTTCTAGATTCAGTTTAATATGTAGGGCTTAATTAATTCCAGATTCAGTTTAGGGGGGATCAGCAGTTCTAGATCCAGCTCAGTGTGGGAGTTAATGATTCCCAGACACAATTTAACGTGGGGCTCAATCATTTCTAGACTCAGTTTGACTTTGGGGTCGTTTTACCTCTCCCTGGGCACAGTTCCCTTGGTATTTTGGGGGTGATTTTACCTCTCCCTGGGCACAGTTCCCTTGGT